ACAAATGCAACAGTGAATTCAGGTCACCATTACAGTCACAACGTTCAGACTGTTTTCTTTCAAAACTCATGGTATTTAAGGACATTGCCAAGTAAAATTGGTGATTATTTTTTATCATTGCAATATCAAGTAAAAGTGACAAAACAGAAAAAAAATGTTCTCACACCTCCCTGAATAGTATTCAAAACAGCTGCTCTCAGCAGCAAAACCAAAACTAAAGCTTAGCAAGGCTGAATCAGAAACAGAAGAGATGTAAGAAAAACTTTATCCTCGTGTGGAAGTTTTCATTTAGACTACAAAGAAGGAAAATAGTCCTGTAACATCCTATACACAACCAGGTTCTTCTCACAGCATTAGACGGCAGTTCTGTACCTACTGTCCCTATAGTATAATGTCATTTAAAATAGATTTGGCTAACATATTTTGTCTGTGAACTCACTGAAATTAAGTATTTAAAAATACGTTGCTTCTCACTTTTCCCATGTACTTTTTAAAATTTTCCCATGCTCAGAAAAATTGCAATACTGGTTTGCCCAATTTTTTATTCTGCATTTGCTTCATTTAAAGCACATCATGGGAACAGCTGTTTAAAAGAATCTTTTCAAATGAAGATATTATTATTAAAATATTTCAATCAATTTAATAGATTTACAAAACCTGATTTACATTCAAAATGTGTGCTATGGAATTCACTGCACTTCAAAAAATGGGCAGGAAACTTATTTCGCAGGAGAGAGGGCAAGAATAAGTTTGTCACCGTCCTCTATCCAAAGCTGCCTGCTACTCCTGCACTAACCTACGTTTAATTTGGGAACATAAGATTTCTTCTTCGCTTCCGCTTACCCAAAAGTAAAGAAATAGCTTCTAAATCTCTTTCACTTGTACCTATTACTCTAGTTTATCTATATTATTTCTTCATTATGACATAGCTAAAAAATGTAGTATCTCCAGAGTATGAGTAAGGTGTCCAGCTGCAGACACCAGCACCTGGAACAGGAAGGGTGCCCTTGTTAAAAGCCCAGCAAAGCCAAGGATGATTCACTTACTGTTCACGGTCTCTTTCACCAGACCTACAAATGTTTTGAAACTGGTAACTTAGGCATGGCTGGGCCATGAACTTTTAGCAGTTAAGTTTCAGTAAACGTAGCTGTGACATCTACATTTTTGCTTCTATGCAGCATAGTACTACCTTGGCACAGATGAGTATCTATCATTTAAGCTCAACTGATTCACAAATATTTCATTCCAGTCTGAGCAGCAGTTTCTGAACATACTAAGCAAACACACATGGCTTAATCTCCATTGAAAAGGAAATCAATTCAAAAACAAAAGTGGAAAAAAAGGCACCTTCATTAGCTCCAAAGGCAGAGCATGTACCTTCTTAGATAAGATGGGTAGTAAAACAAAAAAACAAACAACAAAACAACCATGTACTTGAAAAACTCAAAGCCACAACTTCAACCTCTCAGGAAGTAACCTTAAAGAAATATTCTTCCTGTTCTTAGTGCCAGAAACCAGTCTGCACTCCACTCCTGGTGCCTGCACCAAATTTGCAACTACCTTACAGACCAAGTCTCAGGGTTGTGCCCCAAAACCATACACTACTCTCTGCTCTCAATATGTTTTATCAGAGAGCCTACAAATATCAAAGCCCAGGGATGTTTAGGGAGAGACAAATGTCCCCCACTTATCACCAAGTAAAACTATGCTTACTCTCTTTTTGCTCTCTTTCTTCCCTCATAAGGTGCTCTTTGCTAAACCAGGCCTAACTTCCAACAGAAGTCAGAGAGCAGCAGTTCTAAGCTAGCTTGCACTGCAGTGGTCAGTCACATTAGCAGAGACTAATCCTTTCAGTCTACAGAGGATATTAAAGCCAGCAGCTGTTGCCTTCAAAGTAAGTACCACTTCCAACCACTATTTGTTTTTATTAAGAACTTTATTCCATCCTCCAAAAGGAGGTGCCCAATCCCAAGGATGACCACACTCTCACTGACAGTAACGTAATTTATTTAGCTTACATCCTACTCACACACAGCAGCAGGAGCACAGAGCTTACCTCCAGACTACCACTTGCCTGCAGATAGTTTCCAAGGCTGCCTTTCTAGCCCTGAGTATATCTACAAGCAACAGTGATCCTCAAAGGGAAGATACTGGAACTTCCCGTCCTGTAATTTCTGGGTGTCCCCTTTCATGCCATAGCTATCTCCAAATATCTCAGAGCACACACAGCTTTCGAGCACACAGTCAAAAGACAGTGGCTGCTCTTTTCACAGCACTCAAGCTGCACACAAGGCTCTGGGCTGCTGTAATGAAACTGATAACAGTACAATCATCTCCTGTACTTCCACAAGGAGATCAAATAAAAGGAGGATAGGGTAATACTAAGTTAACCACGAACAAAAAGAGTAGATACACTCTCTCAGTACATGTGATATAAACCTAAACTATGTTTAACTTATTAAACAACAACAACAAAACTTTAAGCCAAGCAAAAATGTGTCTCTCAAGCTGCAGTACACCTTTGATAGCTTGTAGCACATTGAGCTACAGGATGCAGGGCAGCATGTCAGCAGGCACATACAGAGCTGCTGACCCCATACCTCAGCAGCACTACAGCCATTTCAGGAGGACACCACATCTTCAAGTTTACAAACTCTGCCAACTTGGAGGCTGGTACAGATGTGTTCACTTTCAGTATCACTTTGAGGCTGCCAATTGCTTCCTGATCAGAAGCGAGGTCCCTTCCCTTCTCACAGTCTTGTAACAAGGAACACAGACCTCTTAAATCTACTTCAAAACCAACTGAAAATAGACAGGCTCAGCTCCTTTTTAAGGTAAGACCTTATGCGTACATCTGTGACATATGACATCACATCTTACGTTTTGTCTTTTTCTCCACCGACAAATGCCAAAGTCCAAAAGAGATGCAAATACTCATCTACTCAGACAGAGAGTTACAAAAATATGAAGAGGGGGAAAAAATAAAAGAAAAAGAAAAGAGAGCAGGTAGGGAGAGCATCCTTTCAGTATTGCTAATGTTATCAGAAGTAGCTGCCTGCTCCTTTTTACATTTTTTTTTCCTTCTGCAACTTTACATCAAGCAGTTTCTCTTTACTGGAATAAACTTTCCTCTTTCTTAAACTCTAAGGAGCACTTTAAAGAACACCTTAACAAGTTATAACATTCAAAACCATCATCAGGATTATTTCTATGCTCTGAAAGTAATGCCTCTTATTTTATTATGCAGGCACACAACATCAGAGGTGGATATTGAAGCTAGGGGAGCAGAGGTTGAACCTTCCTAACAAGATCCTGTTACATCTTGCTGTCGCACAACAGATGGCAGCAGAGGGGCAGCCTGTCCAAATGGCATCTCACATGGAAGTGCATGCGAAGCAAAGGTGTGGAACTGGATTTCTCCATGTGGAAAAAATGGCACCCACTGACATTCCTCAATGCTTGCTGAATGTTTATGGAGACTGAACAGTGGATGCAAGCACAGTGAGGCAATGGGTGGTGCATTTCAGCAGGGACGACAGTAGGTTACCGCTGCTGGTGCAGATTTTTATGAGATCAGTATGCAGGCTCTTGCTCATTGCTGGCAGAAATTCATAGCTAAAGGTGTGACCGTGTTAAAAAATAGTGTTTTGTAGCTGAGAATTTGCTCTATTAAACAGTGTTTTTGTGCTCTTCATGTCTGTTGCAGCTTCCTTGGAAACAAATAGGAGGCATTACTTTTGGAGCAGCCAATGTAAATTTCTTCATTGGCCTCAGCAACATTTTGATGACTATTGCATTTTTTAAGAATCAGTCTTTTCCCACAGACTGTGCTCCACATGAAGTCAAAATCTTTGGTGATGACAACTGTATCCCCAGCAACCGGCCGTGATGTAACAAACGAGACGAACCACTCCTGGCGGAGGGACAGCATCACAAACCTTTCTGGCAGACTCTGAGGAATCTCAATTAACGTCTCAATAAAACGCCTGTTGACATTTCAACGTCGAAATATTATCTCATAAAACAACATACTTCAAGAGAAGGTAATGTTGTCTTCACCAATCACCACACTCCCAGGCCTTTTCAACTCCATTTTTAAAGACCTTTTCAAACCACGAATTGCACTAAGAAAGGATTTCAATCCGCTTCACTGACTGAAGAGAGCTGGAGTTAAAGTTGCTTATATCTGCAGCAGTTGCCTGAATAGATCTATCCAAAATCCCTCCAGAGATCTCTAACGAAAAACGTCCAACTTCTGTACCGTTGAACCTTAGGTGTTCAAAGCACGCACAAAACCAGCACAGCAGGCAGATGTTACACTGATACCAACACATCACCACTGATGGTGGATGTGTCAGGTTACCAAGTGTGCGCATTTACACCTCAGCGCTGCTGATCACAGGAGCCTTTGTGAGTGTGGCAGATGTGGGATGTAACAGTGCCTTTCACCAACATTCAGCTCTAGGGCAAAACACCTCCGCATCAGCATTCAGGCCAGCAGAACGCTGGGGCTTTGAAATACACTTAAACGCAGTCAGCTAACTTGTTTGATCTCTCACCGGTCCTACGACTGCATTTAAATGATGAATTTCTATCACGATGCACCCACATGCAGCTAAGCCAGCCGAAGCAGCTCCGTACCGGAGGGCGGCCGCGCTGCCCGCGCACAGGCGAGCCGGGCGTAGCGCTGCTCGGCTGCAGAGCCGAATCGCACCTCGCGCCCAACGCGCCCGCGCTGCCCGTACCACAACGCCGGGCGGCACAACGCCCGCCGCGGACGCGTGTGTGCGTGCGAGGAGGGGGCTGCCCCGGCGGCACCTGTCGCCCGTTAACGGCCCAAACTCCCGCCGCGCCGCCTCAGAGCGAGCGCCGAGCGCACGGCTGCGGGCAGAAAGGGGGAGCGCGGCGACAACGGGAAGGGGACGGAGCGGAGGCCGCGCCCGCCGGGAGCACCTGGGCGGCTCTTTGTTCCTCCCCGCTCCCGCCGCCCCCGTACTCACCCACGGTGGCCAGCGTCTCCAGGTCCTCCAGCTTGTAGGCGGCGGGCTCGGGCGCCGAGGGCGAGCCGGGGCCGGCGGGGCTGGGGGCCGTGGCGGCGGGCTGAGGAGCGGCCAACCCCGCCGCCGCCGCCGCCTCGCCGCCGCTCTTCGCCCCCATTTTGGCCTTGGCGGCGCTGAAGGCGTCCATGGGGCCGCTCAGCGCATGGAGGGCGGCGGGGCGGAGGCGGACGAGAAGGAGCGGCGGGGACGCAAAGTTTCAGTTTTCAGCAGGCGGCGGGGTGGCTGCGCCCCGGAGCTCGAGCCCGCGCCCGCGCCCGCTGCCGCTGCCTCGGAGGGGACGCGGAGCCCTTCAGCATCACGAGCCGCCGCGCGCGCCCGCCGCCCGCAGCAGGAACAGCCGCGCAGGCAGACAATGGCGAGGGAGAGCCCGGGCGGGCCGAGCGTGGCTACGCCGTGCTGTGCCGCGCCGTGCCGAGCCGCGCCGCGCGACACGCCGGGCGGAGGGGCGGGGTCTGCCCGCCGCCGCTGCGGCACGGGCCCGCAGAGGGTGGCGGGGCGGGGGCAGGCGCGGCCCCGGCGCTCGGCGGGAGCGCGGAGCTCGGCCCTCGCCGCGGGCGCGGCTCCGGGGAGGCGCCGCCCTGCTGGGTGTCGCGGAACTCCGGCGCTCTGCGCTCGGTCTCTCCCGATTAGAGCGGTGCTGCCGCCGCCCCGAGAGGTCCCGCGAGCCCCCTCAGAGCTGCCGTCCTCTCTCCTCGTTCTCTCGCAAAGTTTGAGAGGAGCGGCGGTGGCCGCTGTCGGTGGCAGGACGGTTTCCTGGCCCACCTGCCTTCGAGCTGTCGGCTCCGGGAAGGCTTTGCCAGTCCCGAGCGCGCCGGAGAACCTCAAGCACTCCCCACCCAAGCATGTCAGAAGGCTAGGCGTGATTGTAGCCTCTGTTTTCAAATGGGTAGATGACTGGCTGCAGACAGCCTCAGAGTTCCCCGCTGCAGCCCACGATGAGATGGTGGGGTATATCCACACTGAGCTGGCTGGAAAGGCCCCTCATGCAGCACTGAGTTGCTCTGGACGAGGAGCTGTTGATGATTGTACTGAAAGCCAGGGAAAATTGGTGTGTGAGCCAAGTCACTGGGAAGAGGTCATGTCAAAACGGGGGAGGAATTCCTAATTTTTTCCATGCCTTGTTCTGGCCCAGTTCTACGCTAGTTACAGCTCCTAGCGCTCACTCCAATGAGTGGAGTGTGTGTAAGGCTGAGTGTAAGGTTACGGAAGTGGCATTTCGCATTTCCTTTGTATTGCATGCAAATACACGGTCTACTGACTTTGGTGTGGAGAGCATTCGATGATAATGAGAAATAAGTATGTGTGCATACAAAAATGAGTATCGGAATGGAAATTGCTATTATTGGAGAAGGGAAGGCTCCAGGGAGACCTTATTGTGGCCTTGCATTACTTGAAGGGAGCTTGCAGTCAGGAGGGGACGGATTTTTACACGGTCTAATAGGACGAGGGGGAATGGCTTTGAACTTAAAAGGGGGGGTATTTAGGTTAGGTGTTAGGAAGAAGTTTTTACACACAGGGTGTTGAGGTGCTGACACGAGGTGGCTGGCAAACCTGCTCATGGCAGTGTAGTCAGAACTAGATGGTCTTTAAGGGCCCTCCAACTTAAGCAATTGTTTGATTCTATTCTATGATTCAAATTACAAACTTATGTATCTGTCTCTTGAATTTTAAAAGATCTCTGTGGTCTTGTTCATTGTTGTGACGCTCACAGCATGTATTATCTATTTTTATCTTTTGGCTTGTTGACGTGGGGGTTATGACTAATTTGGAAAAATGCTAGATCATCCCTGCTTCCTGCCAGCCTGTGAAATGAATCATTAGTCAAGGAGGATGACATAATTTTTGCTATAACATTTCAGATTTCCTTACTGCGCTTTTTGAAATGTGTTACTGTTCTATTTACTATTTTATTTAATTTCATTTTGCATTATGTATCGTAAGTTTTGTGTACAAAAAATTAGCGTGAATTATGGCTTGAATGTAATATTTCAAAGGTAGGATAGATGTATTTCAGAAATTGGGCTTGATGACCCTTATGGATCCCTCCTAACTTGGGATATTCTATGATTCTGTGAAAGATTCTGGTGGATTGTAAATTTAGTTTGGTCAAAAGTTGAACAAGCCAACAAGCCTCTCTTAACAAGAATGGAAACATCTTGTTTAAGATAAAAGCTTGAAAAATAAACATTCATATGCTGAAGAAATCAGAATGTGCATACAAATATAACTTCGTAGAAAAAATAAAGACTACCCTAAGTTCAGTCTGCCCAAGATGATCTTCCTGAAACCAATTTTGTCCTGAAAACAGGGAAATCATTCACTGCTCAGACATTAAAGAGGACAGAAAATACCATATAGAAGGTATATTTCAAGTCATGTTCCTGTTTATGATATGAACTTTAGTGATTAAATTTCTTGCATTCAAGATTTTTAAATTTCTTTTAAAATCTCCTTCTGTACTTTAATGGTTTGTGGGTTGTCACATAGCTTATATGGTGAGACCCATTCAAAAAGGCTGCAATTCAGTGAGGTCTGTAAACAGTGTTAGCTCCTTAATTCAATGTCCATTTTCTTATGACGAAACAGTCTTGTGCTTACTGCTTTGCTAGCCTGGTATCCAAAGCATTTGCTAGCTGTAGTTGTAGCAATCTAATTGCAATGTTTATATTGAATGTCAACATATTATTACTGTGCTTTACCACCTCTGTATAACCTACTTAGAATTTATCTTGCAGCTGCAGAGCAGTATAATATTTCAGGGAAATAAAATGCCATTCTTTCTAAATTAAAAGAGACTGAGAATCAAAACTCATAGCTTCATGAATTACAGGTGGAAGCAGAGCTGCCACTGGGTAACAGTAGCAGATACTAAGCTTAGTTTCTTGCCCAATTTGTCTGCACTTTGTAAGAAGGTCTGCTGCCCTGTTCTTTTGTCTGTCGCTTTTGCCACTATTTCAACTTAATATGTGAACTTTTGCTCACAGGTATTTCTCGAATAATCTTACTCATAGGTAATGCACAGTACTCATTTCAGTTTTCACAGTACTTTTTTAGTTTTCTCTCACGTGTGGTGGATGCCTTCAGTCAGTTTCTTCTAGAATAAAGTTGAGTTTCATATCTTATGTTTCCATTCCGTTATCTTGTAGGTGCTCACACAAGGCATTAACTATTATATTTTTTTCCTAGAACTACCAGATGTTACAGATGATTTTTTTCCAAATATAGTGAATACCTTACTAACAGAGAGTAAAAATTAAAAAAAAAAAAAAACAACAGTGGTTTAATTTAATTTTATTTTTCTCTCAACACTTGTGGTTTTGAGTGATAACCTTTTTTTTTTCTTTTTCTTCAATTTCCATTGCACAAAGCGTTCAGTTACTTATATTCCTTTTTAAGTTCAGGAGCTTGGGGAGACTTAAGTTCACAACTGTCAAGGAGTTTGAGGTTCCAGGTGTTAATTGTGTTCCTCCATGTTTCCTTTCTCGTATGTATGTTTGCTACACACAGAGCCACGCTTTCCAGACAGTGATTCTGTGGGTGATAAGCTACAAACCTATTTTCTTTCTTTTTTCTTTTCATTTTTTCCTTTTTGGGAAATCTTTGGAAAAGATCTCAGGAAACTAATGGAAAGGATTCCAGTTTTTCTGCCTGACTATGTAAAAATTCATAACAGAGCTCACTGCTCTGTCATTTAGAGAAGACATTGTGATATGCATATCAAACAAATGGATGTGATTTAAGCACCGGACTCTCGGTTTTGTGGTTCTCTGTGAAGAGAATCAGTCATTTAAATGTCTCCGTGACTGCAGACAAAAGAGTCTCTCCTGTGGTTTGAGCAGGTTTGCGTTTGCCTACCTGAAAGCATGCTTTTTCCTCCCCATAAATTCATAATTTTCCTCGCAAATCTTGTTAAAGCATATCTTTACCATCACCATCACAGTGAAATAACTACAACAAGATTGTTAGAGAACCTGCCCAAACCTGCAGGGAGGAAGTGAATAAGTTCTTCAGTGATTGCTATTATTAATAAATAGTTCTGCATCTTCTTCCCTTGTCACATTATGTACAGTGACTAAAAGCGTGGGACTGATCTGAGGAAGAAGAATAACTGGTAAAGATAATTAGTACTGCTATGTGTTTTTCATTTGTTTTGTTTTGCTAAAGAAGCTCATGATCAGGCAAGTTCTGTGAAGTAAACAAGCAGGAATTTTGTACAAGAAATCCCTGCCTGTGACAAAGAAAGGGGGAAATTGTGAAGCCCATCTGAAGTAGTTCCTTCAGTGTATGGAAATAAGAGCATTTGTATAATGAACAATCACATATTATGCAAATATATGTAAGGATTCATATGGCAACTATCATACCTGTATTTTAATATGATTGTTTAATTTTTTTAAAAGTGTTTAAATGGTTATGAATGTAGAGTCTCAATCCAAACGAGAATTAAAGCACACACACAAGAAAAACCAAAAAACAAACAAACAAAAACAAAATAAACAAACAAAAAAACCCAGCTGTCAACATCCCAAACTTCCGTAGCATCTTACTGAACTGATGCCTGGCTTCAGGAGTGTGTCGGCTTCTCCAGTTGCAACACAGAAGTGTTGTTACTAGGGTGTCTAGACTTCTGCACAGCCTGAGCAAGTTTGTGCCATCATCTTCTGAAACAAGATTGAGATCTGGAAGCTAGATGTTGCTTTGCCTACATTTGCTGAGGAACTTTGCGTGAAGCATTCTCAATGCATATCTCACATATATGCAAAACTGCTTCCCTCACCAAATGAAGCTGTGGTTGCCTTTTTAGAAACAAACATATTGGAGGAATGCTGTTTTATTTTATAAGGGACACTGAAATACCAGTGTGCTGGATAAGCTCTCAGAATCAGATGGAATCAGATTTTCTTTAGATGGAAGGCAGAATAGAACAGCAGTGTACCAGAATTTCTTTTTGTTTTCCCCAGATAAGTAGTTATGTGTATTCCTACTAATACATCTTATTTGAATACACAGGATAGGACGCTGTTTATAGCAGCCACTCAGCAAATGGAGCATCCAGCAGATTTGATCTTAATGGTATGAAAGGAGTTCTCATTCCAACCTCCTTCCCTTAAATTAGCAGAGACAATTGCAGGACATATTCTTCACATTAAACATCCCTCCTTCACAATCATTCCCTTTTTTGCTGTGCCTGTTAGATGAAGTTGTCAGTTTGCTGTTCTGTAGAATGCTGTAGAAGTCTTAAAAATTAAATGTAGTACTAGATTCATTTATTTATACAAATTATGGTATATTACAGTAGTGTGTTTTTACAAATGTCGGCAAGGTCCTGCAAAGATTATGAATGGTATGAACCATTAAATTCCACAAATGATTGGCTAGTGTGAGCGTTATCAAAATTTTATAGCAAGACAAGCATTACATGAA